GAAAACTGCTTCAGTAGATCATTTGAATGACCCATGACTTCTTCATCCTTTTTTTTTTAACCTCCTACTGTAATGAATGATCTGCACTACGTAAAGAATATTTTCCTTTAAAAATATTTACTTAGGCTTGTCATGAAATATTACTTATTCATGCCTATTTTTTATCTGTAAAGTATTAAATGTGCAAGGGAGAAACAGTTTGGTGAAGGGATGAATTTTCCTTAAAGGGTGAATTAGGTGATGTTCAAAGTAACAAGATGTATTTTTAGAATGGTTGTTTCACTCACTGATTGCTACTGCTTTATTTATTTTTTGTCTTCTTTGGCATTTCCCAGTTTGCCACTATTGAAACGATAGTGACATCTGTTTCAGATGAATTTCCAAAGTATTTACGTACCCACAAGCCATTATTCACCCTTGGATGCTGCATTTCCTTTTTCATCATGGGTTTTCCTATGATCACTCAGGTAAACATATTATCGTATTATTTGTGTTGTTTAAGCTGATCCTACAATTAGTAAAATCAGCTCTATGAGTATATTAACTTCACAGGAAGTGAAATCTGAAGAGAAGTTTCACTAGCCACGAACACATATGGCCGTTTTGAAGGCCCTGTCAAGCATATGGACATTTCTAAAGATGTAATTTACCATTAGTGGAAGGACCGAATAAGGGCTGGAGCAGAGCCACCCAGATAAAATTTATAGATCTGTTAGATTTACAGTCTCCATTTTCTTCACATTCTTCAAGTATCTCAAAGATGTTGTACAGCTAATGTCCTCTTCTCTTTGCGTCTAGTGTATGTATGTCTAGTTCCAAATAGCAGAACTCTGCCAGGTTATAAAGCCTAATTGATATTCATTCCATCTTGGCCACCCCTCTGCCCATTTTGTTGTAAAAGTGAGGTGGAAATTACATTCTTGAAAAATTCTATAATTATAGCTCATAGAGTATTTTCATAGTGAGATGAGGCTTGATGACAAAATAGCAGTAACTGCATCTTTTTCTTACTGAAACTGTTAGTTGGGTTCCTGCTGACTGTGTCCTAACTGCAGGTGGCATTTCTGTTAGTAATTATTTGTTTTTAATTTTAGGGTGGGATGTACATGTTGCAGCTTGTGGACACCTATGCAGCATCTTATTCTCTTGTTATAATAGCCATCTTTGAACTTGTTGGCATTTCGTACATTTATGGTAAGCAAAGGATGTGTTATCCCTAGGTTATACAAATAGTCCGTATATATAAAAATGGGATATTGATAAGGAACAGCTAATTCCACAAACGAAAGTTTTAAAAATGAATGTTATTCATTAACATTTCAAAATGTACATCTAAGAGTATCTGACCAAATATTTTCAGGAATTCCATCAAGTAAAATGTTTAGTTCTGTTTAAATCATAGCAAAACTGATTTGGTTAGTAAATAAACTGTTACAGATAGCAAGTTGTTATTATTAATGTGAGTATGACTTAATAAGATATGTAAAAGTAATAATGAAGCATATAGTCTGCATTAATTGACATAGCTCTCAAATAAGTATGTAGGGTTGCAGTAGTCAAGATTGGGGTTCCGAGAATGATTACAAGCTAATCTATTGCATGTGATTTTCAAGGCCAGTCCACATAAATATTTCAGTTGGATTACTTGACTTAAGAACGATGGCATATTTGAGGTTGTAATTATACATATGCATTTATAGATAATACAAAGTTGTAACAACAACGGAATTATAACCAGTGCAATAGGTTAATTGCTGTCTCCAAATGGAAGGACTTGTTCCATCAATGGAGTCTTCATGATCCTGCCAGTGGAGATGAGATGAGAATGTTACTGATTTCTCATCCCTCTAATGCTCCCATCTGTTACAGAGAATCACCCAAGCTTTACTCACAGAAAATATGAGTTATCATGAGTTGCAAGAAAGTTCAAACCTCTCTTTTCTCTAGGATAGAAGTGTGTATCTTGTGGACCAGATGTGGTTCTAGCCCCACTTGTGTTTTTGGTGGAGTCTCAAGAATTTTGATGCTCAAATTTGGTAGCAAATTTCTGATTTTTGGTGGTAGAATTTTTCTAGTGAACTGAGGCTCATAGCCCAATAGGATTTTCATGCCTATTTTGACTGGGTTAAAAAAGAAAATGCAACCCTCTCCAATAAAAAGCCTGCATAATTCAGGTGTGTTCTTTTGGACGATGCCATCATGTAATTCCCCCCTGCCCAACTGCATAACTGTAAATATTACCTATTTAAAAAGGTATTTCCTCTGGCTATAAAAATGTGGCCATCCCTGCTCTTGCAGGTACTTCAGTTAAGACAATTCTTTTTGCAATTAAGTATGAATTGATCATATATCATTTTTGGAAAGCAGAGTTTCTGAATACAAACAGGCATGCATTGTATAGACTGGGAGCACTGGTATTCAGCTAAGCTAGAAATCAAGTTTATTTAATTTGGTTGGACTATCATAGAACAGTCCAGTTACTAAAATCCATAGCATATTTATGACTTTAAAAGTGAAGTGTGATTTCCATATATATGTTCTTTGCATAAATATAATTATTCTGTTATGATGATCCTCCCCTGTATATAATGCCATAAGATGTTTTACGTCATCCAGTGTGACCAGATCTTTTTTGGAAAAAGCAATTTCCTATCCACTAGTTACAGTAGCATCCTCTTCTCCTGAAGAGACTGATGGCACTTAATAATACTGCTTTGTTTAGTGAGATAAAAGTCAATAGGGATGTCAATAAAGAGTATGTTATGAATGTTAGAATGAATGTCTGTTGTCATCTTCCAATGTTAAGGAGAGTTATAATTAGTCAAGTATGGATGTTGAGAACAGGATTTCTAGGTGAGGCTTTTGGCTGCAATTTAGAATCTGGTACCTTCATGGAATTTCATTGTTATAAGAAGACCTGCAAAATAAGACCAAGGGTGTTGACACAATGGCCAAGCAGAACAGTTTGTTCTCTAGTACCAGTTATTGGATGTTACCTGATGGTATACTGCTACTAAATTGGAAGATTCTGATAGCCATTGTATCTATCTTCCATGCTAACAGTTTTATTTTAACTGTTAAAAAATGATCTCTAGTGTGAAAAATGTGTGGCATGCTAATTTGTTTGTTGATTCCAGGAGCACTTTGATGTAAATTCATCCTTTACACATAACTATACTGATCTACATTTTGCCATTATAGCAGATGATGCTTTGTGAATGAATGGGGTACTTCTCCCTAAGCCGAAGTCAAGAAGTTCCTGATTTAAATAGGCAGAGTTTTCTTAGTCACGTGCATCCAGCAAATAATTATGAAGGAAAAATCAAGTGTAATGCCTGGGAGGTTTAAAGACAAATAGGTAACTGAGCCAGGAAGAAAGGAAATAGAATTTAAAAACAGCTTATTCACTGGCCAGGTGATAAGTTGCTCTGGCTGAGCAGCAAAGTAATTTTCAACAGATTTGTAGGCCCAAGTAGGATACAATTAGTTCCTTTCATGAATATATTTATTTAAATAGGCCTTTCCCATACTATATCATAGTACTCAGGACACAATTCTGCAGGATTCATTAAAAATCCCTGATAAACAAAATGAAATACATTAAGCTGCACCCAGTAACTTCCAAACCTTATATAAGTTGTTATATGAAATAAAATCAGTGTTGGCCAGATCTCTAAGAAGGAGGTACATGAGTTGAGAGTGTGTTCTTTATTTTGTGTGAAGTACAAGACCTAATAGTGGGCTGTAGAGGAGAGCCTCCTTAGCCAAGCATAATAATTACATAGACACATACTAAGATACTTCTGCAAATATCCAAATATCTTTGAGCTTGGTTGTTTTCCTGCAGATGTTTTATTACCTAGCTCAGAGAACATCAAGAATCCAACAAAATCTTTTGGATTCAGCTGCAGTTTTTTGGACTCATTTATCCATTGAAATTTCCAGAAACAGCATCAGCATGTAGGAACGACTGCCCTATTCATATTAGCATTACATAGTGGGATCAGACAATGATAGAAGTTGAAATCCTTGACCTTTCATAATAGTGGCCCAGAAGTATAGTATAGTATAGTATAGTACAGTACAGTACAGTACAGTACAGTACAGTATAGTATAGTATAGTATAGTATAGTATAGTATAGTATAGTATAG